GGTTATGCAAAATTTTATGACAGTTTAAATTTGACAGCTGTCAAATTAAAACTCACATAACCACAATAGAAACAAAATATTGTAGTTTGAGAACCTTTGATCTATGAGTCAGAAAACAAACAAACAAAAATCTTATAAATGACTATTTTTAAACAGAAACATTTGTTCTTTATTGTTTGATATAAATAAAATAAAAGATGTTTGAATGGAGCGTCAATAGTAAAAATAGCTAAACTAAATACATCGAACGTATGATCCAATTGCTCCGTTGACGGATGATTCACGTCGCAGACTGGCGCATCCACCAAAAAAGAATAATTTCAAACATCTCAAAGTTCTTACAAAATAATATTTAAAAAAAAACGCTAACGTAACATCGGATCTCAGACGAAAATTCGTGCTTCCTTTTTGTCAACGATCTTCCTTTCTCTTGTTGTTGTGCCGCAATGTACGTATTTAAAAATAACCGTGACGCTACGAATCCACACGGATATAGAAATGCCGCAGAAGATTTCCAACAAAAAAAAATCAAATAAGTTTCAGTTTTATTGAATCACCTAACTATTTAGAACAAAATTTATTGTAAGTCGGATGATCGAAGGGGGATGTTGTATAAATAAACAAATTGCATCTCAGCGTTACAGAAATACACAGGATTTTGGATCCGTGCATTGGCCTAAGCGGAGTATTTTTATACAAAAACCAAAAAAAGTTTACACCGTGCGTGTTTCCAAGTTCCATTTAGGGATTTCTCTTACCTTTAAGATTAATTGCTGAAGGAAGATGAAAAAAATAAAAGGATAACGCACTCAGAGCACGTCACTGTAATAGCGGAGCACCGAAACTGCAAAAGTCTGGACACGCTGCTTTCCGGCCACGTTTTTCCCTTCCCTTCCCAATCCTCTATCCGCTCTTGTGCCTTTTAATTTTAGAATTGGCACCGCGACGCGCTTTCAACCTATACTACTATATATTTTTTTCTACCTTCTTCTCTCTCTCTCTCACTCGCGCGTTTTCTTGTCACTTTTAATCGGAACCCTCTGTATTTTTACAGATTATATCAGCGTCCAGAGATGCACATGGCGCGCGTCCTCTCTCGCTCGCTGCACACTCCGAAGACATCCATCCATCCGTTCATCTCACATTCGAAATTATTTTTAAATCAGAAACACGCTGAAAGTGGGGGCATTTCAAATATCGAAGAAGAAAAACCATTCAATTTTGTCTCATTCAATCACAACATCTCATAATAATGTGCGAAATGGAATAGCGTAAATATAGATGAATGTTTCAATTTCAGCGCCAAAAGTCGAAAATTTTTATATATATTTATGTTTAAATGTAATAATATAGGAGGAATCGAATTCGAGCGTGAATGCTCATTGAGCTTAAAAATACCGTCCGTCCAAAAATAAATGTGACATCAAATTATTGTTATGCAACTAGTGTCCATCTCGTATCATATCACACCACCTTCATATTACACATTCAATATTTTACAACAGAATTTGCTTATTTTTAACATTTTCATTATGTATTTGTAATTGTTACTTAATTATAACAATGTTTAAATTATGTTGTTAATTACACAAATAGACAATTAGACAAATAGAAATGAAATGAATGAAACTTTAGTCCTATATTTCAATGGATAGTGAATGCATCATAATTATAAAAGTATGTAGATATTTTGTAAGTAATTGTACAGATGTTCATTTTAATATTTTAGACGACACATGTATATAATAATAGTTTTACTTAAATGATAAATTCGAATGTAAAGCGTAAAAAATGTATGTGTAATACGCTGCATTTAGAAAAAAAATCTTTCTAAAAGTTTTTATTATTTATATAATGAAAAACAGTAATAACTGCAAATCTAAAAATTTACTTATACAGGCATCCCCTGACTTACGAACTCCCGGACTTACGAGCAAAATTCTAAAAGCTCTAAGTTGTTAAAATTAACTGTCCAAACCAAAAATTCATAATTTCTTTAATAAAATATAATATTTTTGGAAGATGTAGATTCTGTTATTAAATAATTGTGATTTCTACATTGAAAAGTATTTGTAAGTATTTTGTTTATTTTAATCTATTTTTTCAAATGTATGCACACATGTACGGAATTTAAAATATATAAAAGTAAAAACTATGATAAAGTGTGGTAAGATAAATATATTTGGAATTTTTAGAATTCCCCCGACTTAAGAGCAATTCGACTTACGAACAACCCTTTGTAACGGAACTAGTTTGTAAGTCGGCGAATTATATCCAGTATTTTGCTTTTAATTAAAGTATTATTATACTATTTTTTGGAAGATTTTTTTCAATTTTGTCAATTGAAATCCAAAAGTGTACTAAAATGAAAGTCTCTCAATTTGGCTTTGTTGTCGAATAATACAATACTATAAACACATTAAATTTTCTTTTTTGAAAAATTTGATCATATTTATGTAATCTTTAATTGAGATGATACAAGGTTTTTAAATTTTAATATTAACTTGATATTTTGATTAGAAAATAAAATGTTTTTCAATATTTTTAATATATTTATTAATCGAAAATCTTTAATAGAATTATATTCAAAATATCTACAATTGCAAAGAAGAAATTAATGCCACAATTGTTTTGAACGGATTCAATATTTTCATTATTTATATAAAAGTGTCAATTCCAAATTAAAAAAAAAACGTGTTCAATTACAATTCTATAAATAATTTTAGTGAAATTAATTTACAAATATTCTCTTTTTCATACATTTCAACTATCTTTCAATTAAATTACAAAAGTTTTTATCCAATATAACTAGGATTTTCATCACT